GGGGGGGGGCAGATAAAAAGTAAATTGGCGAAAAAGCACGAATTTACACTTAGAAAGTGTAAATAAAATGCAGTTGCACAGTATTAAAAAGATGGGAAATTTATGCAAATAAAATGTATAGTGAGTAAAAGGTCATGACAACGCAGTATCTCTAATTCAAGCGTTTGCTACACGAACCTCGAGGGGATATTAAGGTGGGGTTTAATAGTCGCTGTAAGTGGTCACAATACGGATTAAAGGGTTTTCCAGTCTGATGTGGACATGTCTGGGCAACGGGTGGGGGAGTTTTAATCGACCACGAACACGTTTTCGTACTATTCGTTGCGGGCGTATACGACAACTTTTGGACTGTTTTCAACGATCTAATATCCGTCGCCCCGGTTGAAATGGTCGATTCGTTTCAAAAGCGAACGCTTTTATAAAAATGTCAAACTACGTTCGAATGTCGCGACGAATTGTGAAACTGGAGACTCAAAAATCGTGGAGACAGAACTTTCGGAATTAATATCGATTTTAAATTTACCGATTCGAAATTTTAGATAATTGTTGATCGGCAATTTTACGCACCGGCTATTATTTCGTAACTGAGTATGAAAGAGAAACAATCTAAATGAACTTCAATATACACTTTATTTATACAGAACGAATTTAAATAAAATTTCGTATATCTCTTATATATATTATATTATATTTTATACATATAATACATTTTAGTAATTTTTTTTTTTTTTTGGTGTAATAAACTAATCACCTACGTATAATGGTACACGACGAGTTTTGCAAATTTGCCGTTTTGGAAGTCTAATATCCAATTCATAATTGTCTTCCGATAAACTATCAATTTCCACAGCACTACAAAATTTCAAAATCACTCGAACAATCAGATAAAGCGTCTGCATATAATTCATTGAAAAGTTCTGCACCGTCACGATCTGTTATGATTGAAATTTTTGTAACACTGAAATTGCGATAAAAACCTAAATATTAATAAAAGTAATTTTTTTTCTAATAAAGTGGATGACATGGTTGAACACAACGAAGAAAGATTTCACAATATCCTGTATTACTCTGTATTGCCTTGAGTGTCAAAAATTAAATAGCAAATGCAAGTGCAAACACGAGTGTGCAAACAATGTGTTAAAAATATTACGCACATCTGTCGAACAAAAGTTTAATCCCGCGTAAAGGAACGAGTATTTTTAATAAATACATACTTGAAAACACCTTGCGCAATGAAGATACGTACGAAAGTCTTTCGTATCGTTATCGATTACCACAGAAATCCTCCTCTTTCCTGCTTCAATTCAGACTTAAATTAAAGAAAAAATGAAAGAAAAAAAAAATTAAAAATAAAATCTCAGAAACTTACTTAAAACGAAGGGTATGAATATCATTAATTAAAACTCGCCACGTCCGCCGCGTAGAGAAAGATAAGGGCCGCGTGACTGTTTCGCGTGGAGGAAAATTCGACAGGATCGTTGCTTAAAAGTGGTTACACGCACGCGAACACCGACGCGATCATCCGCTAGCTGGGGCTGAAAATTCATTTTGCTTGTCCGTGCTTACGGAACGGGGGGGGGGAGGGGGAGAGGAGGGGGACCGAGACCGCACTGTCACGCCCGTAAAATCACAGGATCGAGGCCGGCCATGGTTTTCCCGCGCGCGCATTCGCGGTTTTACAGCGGCGCGATTTAATCATCGTTGTAAACGCCGGCTCGAAGGGTTTCCCATCGATGTAAAGGCTGAGCGTGAAGAGGATCAGCGTAACCGCCGCAGCGTTTCTGACTCGTGGGCTGATTGCTCGCGTCGCGGCCGCACCCCTTCCGAACCTTTCTCCATCATCCCTCGTTCCATCCATCTCCCCTTTCGCCGGTCCCACCGGTTTTCACCGGTTCCTCCGGCCTCGTGGCAACGATCTACGCGCTGCGGCGCGAATAATCTCGTCGAAGAGAGGGAGAACCAGGCGGCCAGACATCAACGGCTCGCCGCTGACATCCGATCGGCAAACGGAACGACGTTAGCCCGCGGAAACTTCGTTAACCTGCGGCCGATGCTCGTCGTCGATTTAACGACACCGCGGCGGGACTTTATATTCCGCTTCGGTTCGTTTGCTTTCCAAGTACGAGCGACACCCAGGGTCGAGGATGGGAAGTAACAATTTCACGAGGTGCGCGAGAATCGGTTCACCTCGATCGAATCATTTCGACCTCTCTTATTATCGCACTGATCGTCTCGCCCGTGCATCGTATTGTATTTGCGGCTTCGATCTACGCATAAACTGACAGATACCATTCGATCCTGTTCTCTTCGAAAAACGTTCGCAAGTTGCAGCGATCGATAGTCTCTCGTTCGTGTGTCCTCGTCCATCTATTCAATCGGAACAACCTCGAGCGCGGAAGCTCGATTTCGTCCGTCCGAAACGCTACCTCCGCAGACCTTTTACCGGTAGACAGTTTTATTTACAGGTCTTACCGCGGTGTTGTATGACGTACATGAAACCCCGTAGACGATCGATATCGGTCGTTTCCTGTCGAAAGAACGGCAATTGGCAAATTGGACGAATCGCAGCCAGCCAGTCAACCAGTCAGCCAAGCCGGGGCTTGTTGGCAGGCTGTGAACCAGTGGCGCGTCGTTTTATCAACAAATTCCTGACGAAAGCAGCACACCGGGCACAGCCCGATCACCGACGATATGCCCCGCGATTTTTCCTTGTTTCCCTGGAATCGGCCGCGCGACAGCGGTCTCGTTCTGCAGCTTTGATCTGTCGACAGATCGGCCGCGTCCGTGGCTCGCGTTTTCCTTGTTTTCGCGAAATTCCGAAAGCACGGCGCGCGGTGCTTGCAAGGGTAATGCACGGAGACCAATGGCCATGGTTTCGGCGACTGGAAAGGGGCGGAAAGAGGACGAGTGGCGCTGCCTGGAAATACTCGATGGTCGGCGAGCGGAGGGGGCGGTGGGGAGCGGTGGACGCGGGCGGTCAGGGTACCGGAGATTCGTAGGACAGGCCACTAAATTTCCCGTCCAATTTGGGTGTACACGATTCGTGCGCTGTTGTGCCCGCGTAGCGTCCTATCCGTAGCAGTCTACACAGCGTTTCACGTACAACGCTTTACACCGGCACGGATCAGCCGGCGTGTACGGACGATCGAGTCGCACGGTGTCGTTCCGTGAACCCGCATATCCTTATGCCAGGGCCGTACGTACGACCATCGTTCAATTCCCGACCGCGTAAACTCCGCCACTTGTAAACGCGCGGGACGTAGCGCCGCCCGTCCGTTACGCCGATTTCTCAACCGATCGTCGAACGTCGGATACGGATGTTCCCTCGCGGATCGAAGACACATCGAAACGTGTTTCACCGTGCAACGTCCGTCTGTGCGTTCACGTGTCTCCTCTTTTTATTTTTTTATTTCTTCGGTATTATCGAGTACGAGATCGAGGCCTTTCGAAACGCGTTTCAGAGACGAGGTTTTTTGGGGATCCCGGGGCTCGAATCTGGATGCCGGTATAATGGAAATCGTTTAAGTTCAGAATGTAGTAAAATAGGTGTTTGGATTTGCGGAATAAAATGGGGAAACGATTGCTATGAATTCCAGCTGAATCAAGGTTCGAGGACCGTTCGCTTTGATAGAAATCGGACTAGATTTTGG